CTCCAGAGACGTCGAAGCCAGCCTCAAAGCAAGCGTCGTCGTATGTACCGGCCTCGTAAGCCTGCATCAGGCGTGCCAATTGCATCATCCAGTGCAAAAGACCCAAGAATGTGTACCAGTTGTTTCCGCCAACAGCCGCGATCTGGGACTTCATGATCGACTTCTCAAAAGGGTAGCGCATCTGCTTCAGCAGTACTGGCACCTCCTGATCAATTGATTTCTGGAAGCGATAGCTGGGATCAATGCGGTTGTAGAGCCATTGGAACATGCAGTTGAAGTCCTTCTGCGTTGGCGAAGTCATGGCTTTTGCTGAGAGCACATGTTTCGACTCCATCTCAAAGTTGTTTTGGGTCAGGAATTCGAGCAGCTCCTGAGCCATATGCTGACGGGTGCTCGCATCTTTGAGTCGGCGCGGGTCCGTCGGGGGGACGGATGGCATAGGCGCCTGTTGGAAGAAGGATTGTTTTACACCAGATTGTCCAGTTACATGCGAGGCTCGCGATTTGAATACGCTGCTCCGTCGTTGTGCGCTCTGCTCAAAGTTCGGCCCTGAAGGGGGAGCGGGTGTCTGGAATATGGAGGCGCCAGGCGCAAAACTCTTGCGCGCACTGCTTGCGCCGAAGTTGCTAGTTGAATTGCGATGTACTGACTGGAAGCCTTGCGCAAGGTCTGTTCCAGAGGATGAGCGTGGGAAGAGCGGCTGGCTCGGGCGACCGGGCGCGAGGGACATTCTACTCCCACTCTTCGACCGGGCGTGGTTCGGAGGGAATTGGGGTTGGTTCATGTTGTTGATGGAGCTCGAGCGCTTCATGGCGGAAGCGGGCATGGGAATCGCAGAAGAGTTGTTGTTTACTGGTCCTAGAGTCTGCGCGCGTGGTTAGGAGATGCGACGAGAGGGGGTCGCACACTAGACTGACCTGACGGCGCACCGAGAACATACCCGGGTCGGCCATAGTATGTGTTGTGACAATTATGCAGCAATTGTCGGTCTGTTCGCGACGGCGCGGGTCAGCAAGGCGGGAGGCCGAGGGGGTTAGGGCTGGTGTTGATGCACCCGTACCCGCCTATGCAATGTTTGTTGTGATCAGGGTTTCGCGCTAGCCCACCGCAGCAACGCGCCTGGTCCGCGCCACGTGGGGTACGTATCTTGCATTGTTGACGTCTGAGTATCTCGAATACGAGGCAGGTGGAGGCGGTACTAAGGTAAGAGTGTTTATTTATAGCGACCGGCGGCGAGAGATGCCATGGCCAAAGACGCACCGTCGAAGGGAACGCTAGCAGGTAGTGATATGTAAAGCCAGAGTAAAGGAAGGCTGCCAACCCCGTCGTCCTCCCCAGTCGCCACAAGATCTCATCTCGGACGCACTCATACGTGCCACTTCATCGCTATACTGTATCGACTGGGGTATCGTTGTGCACATGCAAGCCAAAATAATGATGCCACAAATTTTCAAAACTCCAACCTGTGGCCCGTGAAAGGTATAAACAATAAGGACATTAAACTCGAAACCCGTTAGAAATGCATCATCAACATGCCCCCGTTGAAAGTGTGTTTTAGGCGTCTACCATCGTGTCGACTTGGGCGCATCTGCCTTTCCTATGTTCTTGAACATGTCGTCGGCGCCGAGACTCAGCGTGTCTTCGTTGACGCCGAAGGAGCTCAGGCCGGGCAGAGCTGGAGGCGGTGGGCCCTTGGGCTTGGGTGGTTGCGCAGCCTGTACGGCAGGTTGAGAGACGGTGCGGCCGTTCGAGTAGGTTGTGGAATCCACAGTGCCTTCTGGAACAGATCCGGAAATGAAGGTCTTCCTCTTGCCGAACCAGCTGCCGCTCTTCCTCCTGCTAAGACTGGGTGCTTGGCTGTTGATTGTAGCCGGCGAGCCCGGCCTCTGGTCCGACTTCAAGCTGTCGTTGGACGACAGCGTCCGAATGCCGAGGAACTTGCGGACGGATGCAGGCCGCTTGCTCGAAGGGCTCGTGGGGGACATGGCGCTGGTCGCATCGCTGGTGCGGCTCTGCTGGAGGTGGCCATCAGCCGAGTCCTCTGACGCTTTGCCTGGCGGCGGCGACTCTGTCTGCGGCGGGGAGCCAGGCGACTTTGGGGTGGGATGCGATGACAGTGGGCCCTTTCCAGGCGTGGGTGGGCGAGGTGACTCGGGCGGGCTGTCGAGCGGCGCGGGTATCGACGTGCCCTCGGTCAGAGAGAAGTTGATGGGCGAAAGCGTCAGTGGCTTGAAGGAGAACTTGTTGGAGCCCATTGCAGTGTCGTGGTGGGAGACTCGTGTGGTAAATTGCGGTGGGCGATCAATAAACCCAAGGTGCGGTGGAGTGGAGGCAATTGAAGGCTGGGAGCGACGCGGCAGCAGATGAGAGAGTCTCGCAGAAGCCGCAGGCGGGTGGAAGCTCAGGAGGTGCTTTCGTGAAGCGGAGTACGGGCCAGGGATTACACGACGGTTAGCAGGGATCAGCGCCCTGCACCACCCAGAGGCGCTGCGGATACGGCGCGCCAGCCTCGACCTTCCCCATGGACACGCCCTGCCTGCTACCCCAGGGACAAAAAGAATAAGACGTGAGCCAAACACGCGCGCGTCAGCAACCGTCGTGCAGCGCTGCATGAATTCGTGCCTGCAGCGCGTCACCTTCGAGCTTCTAGCGCGACAATTGTACCAGAGAATGCAGTGGGTCAGCCACCCGAGTCAGCGTCAAGGCATAATGCAGGAGAGCCGTGCCGGACGCGCATCGCATGTCGCCATCTGCCTCCGCATATCGATTTGATTGAGACCCTTTCTGTGATCTTCAACGGTTATCTAGGCCCATATTCCTCTCGCTGCGACATGCTTCAAACACGCACTGCAGCCGTGTACCCCTCCAAAGTTTATCCGCCACATGGACGACCCCTATGCCGTAGCTTCCGAAGCACCCTGATGTCATCGCTATGCACAACCTGATCCGGGCCACTCTTATCTTGTCTTTCGCTGATGCACCTCGTCCAATTCGGTAATCTCGTCGAGCAGTTGGCACGTCTCCTGCGGGTTCGCGATCCACGCCGTCGTACATGCCAACCGAGCCTTGAAGTCGTTCGCCCCAGCACTCAAGAACTGGTCGCCAACGTGCAATGTTTTGCTGCCCTCAATCCCGCCGAAGATCCGCTGACAGGCAAGGACACCCCAGGACTTATCGCCGATGTCGACGAATACGTCGTTTCCGCCGTTGAACGCGCAAAAGGGGAGACGCTGGCCGACCTCCGATATTTCCTAGCCGCGTCAGCATTGCAAGCATCGCACATGGTCTCAAACCTACGAGTATCTTCTGCACGATCAAAACAGTCTCTTCCAGTGTCTCTCGGCAGAACTTGTGCCCGTCCTTTGGTACGATACCCACCGCTCTTTCCTTCCGGACTACATTTGCCTCCATGCGGAAGTTTTTGACAGTGTCCCTCAGAGACACTTCCGCCAAGTCAAGCAGGTCCTTGATGTCCGACTCAGTCCACGAAAGCATCTCCTTGAGCAGCCATTCTTCTCGGGGAATCAGGCGTAGTAGAACTGGACTGTTCTCGTCGAACTTGAAACAGAAGTTACTTTCACCGCCCATGATGATCAGATTCTGTCGAGCCTCTAGGGGCAGATCGGATGCCTGAATGGCGTCTAAAAGCCCGTAAAGTCTGCCATAGTATGGCTTCGCCTCTGTGTACCCTGCAGCTGTGACAATGCCAATCTTTGATCCACGACGCATGAGCTGCAGGATCTTGGGAATGATCGGGTTGTCTTCTGTCAAGTCTTTGCCGTCGTCATACAATGTGACATCTCCGTCAAACGTCACGAGTTCGAGTGGACCGTTGCGGATGAGACTCATTACTTGGGCTGTGTTGAGAACTAGACGCACATCGTTGAAAGAAGGGGGAACGAAACGTCGGTGGCTGATGAAGCGCCGCTGATCTTGCCAGATGAAAGCGTCATGCAATGCTAAGGACGTGAAGAAGTTCGCTACTGTTGGAACGAGAAGCTTCAACTTTGATCTGTCGGGTTTGCCATCTTTCTGGTGTTGGACTAAGTTGCGTTAGCCCTGTGATTTCACCGTAGACTACCCGGACTCTCGCGGCTTCAATGGCTTCGTGACATACTGTGGTCGTTGATGATCTCTTCAACGTCGCGTAGGATCTCGGCATACCGCCGTTGAGCGATGTTGGCTTGGTGCTCGACTGACTCATCGCTGGGCTCGAATACTGCTGTTGGATGGGAGTGTAAGACGAAAGGAACGGCTAGGAGACCCTGAGGTAGTATAAGTATGTTGCTCGCATTGTCTTGCAAGCTGAAAGAGCATTACCTTGATCCACTCTATCTGTGTCGTGCATTAGCTAGGCATACTGGTCAGGCATCACAGGATACTCACGAGCTGGTCTCGTCTGTGGGTCTTTCGGGACACGTCAGTTATCTGAAGGTAGATGCTTGTCACTGTAACTTATACACACCTTGAGGGCATCTGCCACACGGGAAACCATCAAGTCAGCGGTCTTGTCTCTGAGTCGACCTTTGGGGATTGTAGCCGTGGTGGGGACTTACATTCTACGCGGTATCTGGTGGTCATCTTGCAAAGTCTCAATCGGTGAAGGAGGAATGAGGAGAAGTGAAGGACACTGTGACTGAGTTGTCACTGTAACCTAAGCTGTCTGTCCAAGCTTATCGGAGACGGCCGTTAGTGGCTGGAGAGGGAAGGGGCCATGCACATGTGACCCGGTGACATCCCCGCGCGACGGTACACTAACACCTGTAAGCTGCTTATTCCCCTCTACGAAGCTACAGCTACCTTGCTTTTGATCCACGATTGCGCGTGCAACGTGTGCCATTCGTGGGTTGCATGGGTGAAGCCGCAATCGATAAGCGGCGATCTGCAACGGCCGCTACTGGGGGACGGCTTTTATGCAAGGGCCCACCGTGTCGGACAAACCACAGGAACCCAGCCAGCTTTGCCCAAGCTACCCGGCCGCCTCCAGAGTCGCAGGCAAGATGGACTCATCGTTGAACAACGTGGCCCTGCGCCCATGGCCGGCCCCAAAGAAGGAGGAGCTGACGCAGGATGACCTGCTGTTCAAGATCGAGCAGCTAGCGAGCGAACGCGGGCATTTGCGCAACATCACCGAACAGTCGCTACAGGAGGACATTGACGCGGGCAAAGATGTACCAGACGACGCTGCAGAGGGGGCTGATAAGGAGAAGAAGGAGAAAGAAGCGCCTTCCCGGCAGGAGCAGCTAGAGAAGGTGTTCAAAGCCGGGCAGGAGATGTATAGTCATCTGGAGTACGTCTGAACGCGAACGCGTTGTATGGGGGTTCATACTGACCAAAGACAGATGGGCTAAATTTGCTGCTACCAACGCGCTCGACCTCGTCTCCCTCATCCTCTCCCAAGACCCAAACAAACGCGCCCTCAACTTCTTCAGTCCGACGTTTCGAGAGCAAGGCCTGAACCAGGGCATACCACTCGGCTCTTTCGGCATGAGCAAGGAGAACCACGAACATCGGACTCGTAAGCCGGACGAGGTACAACGGTTACAAGATCTCGCGTCGAAACAAGAGATAGCTGCCCAGGGAGCACGCATGGGGGCGCTCGACTCTTCGGTAGACGAGATATTGAAGGCCGCAAAACACTTGGAGAAGGAGATACGGCGAGAGACGAAGTACTGGCATGAGATAGTGTCCGTCTCCGACAAGGGGTGGCCCATCCAGCGACTGCGCCAGAATGTACGCCATTCGCCCTTTGCCGTGCGTTATGGACTCCCCGAAGGTAAAGACTGCTCATTCGTCGCGTCGCTTTCCTCGAGCTAACAATGTATCAGCAAGCGGTCATTTCAAAGCGCGTGGCTTTGCCCCTCTTCAGATGGACAAGGACGGCAGCATCATTCTGGATCCGAGTCTCGCGCTGAAACCGAAAACATTCCGCGTGCGAATCAGTGTCGACGGCAAGATGACAGGCACATCACAACTTCCTCTCGACGGCGAAAACGCGGCTCAGTCTCTGGAAAAGTCTATACAACTTGCCCGTGATTCATTATTAGAGGAAGAACTGTACTACGAAATGAGTCTCGAAACTCGGCAACTGCGCGCCTACGGTGTCGAATTTCGGGATTCTGTCATTCAGATAGACGTGCCTAGCATGGGCAATGCATCGCAAGATCGAAAGCTGCTCATCGATTGCATACCCCGGGACGATCCTATAGCGAGCAACCAAGGACATGAGTACGATTGGCTGGCTCGCAACATCGCCGAGGCGCTCCGACTGCTCCTAGCCCATGAGCATAGTATGCGTCTCTATAGGAGATCGCAGCTTCCACCTCCCTTGACAGGCCAAAAGCGGGATAAGCCTCCTCCACCTTTACTGCGCACGCTTCTTGCTGTATCAAATCACATTGCAGGTGTCGACTCGCTTTACGTATATCTTGGTCTCGTCGCCAAAACACTGGACAACACAGGCCTTGATGCGAGCCTGGATACCACGCGTGAGACGTCTTGGGCGATCCTTTCGGAAAGTTTGAAGACGACGCCGAAGAAGGGCATGTCCGCAACCGATCAGCTGCTTGAAATCTTCATGAAACCGTTCGATGGAAAAGCGACTTTGACCATACCCGCCCCAAATGGCACGCAGCCAGAGAGTCTGGTCGTCGTTACACGCACAATCATCGGTCAACCGACGTTTGGCACAGAGCACAAGTTGACCCTTCCATCCACTCTGAGTTCCGATCTTGGCTTGTTCCAGCAACACAAGTTTGCTACTGTCGAGGAGCTGAAGTCGTATCTGGATTGGGTTCTGTCCTTACATATCGCGCATAGACTTTTGAAGAGCGAGTATGGCTCGCGCGCGCAGACGAGAACTCAGAACCCACGGCTGTCGATTCGTCAAAGCAACGAAACCAAGAAAGGCACCAAGTCTACAAGGGACATCAGAGTCGACTTCGATGGCGGAGAGCTAAAGGTGACTGCGCTGGCGCTAGATGCGACGTCGGAAGCAGAAGACGGTGAGCAATCGCATACTTGGAGTGAGACAGGTGACAATGCTTCTCTGAAAGAAGTCATCAAAGAGTGGGTTGGTTAGACAACCATGGGAGAAACAGTAGTAAATGCAAATCCGTGAGATATCAGATCAGATCAGGCGGAACTGTTACCATCTGCAACGTGCATTACATAGCGCCAATGGCGTTGCATCACACCTGCACCCAGCAAAAGCGGGGTGAGCCGCCGACAAACTTGGCCACAAGCGGATAGCTTCCCTACGTGCAGCCTCAAATCCTCATCAGATCGACCCGAGGTCAATAGCTCCTCAATTTTATCCTGGTACCTGACATGTTCATGACGTTGAAGACTAAGAATGCCGAGCCGCAAACTGACGTCCAGGTACCTGTGAGGTAATGTTTACAGTTCGCGCTTGCTTGCTCGAAGCTATATAAACCGTCATGTCAGTGATCATGCCACTGTTCTTGATATCAGTCATTAGATTGTTGTCGCATCCAATATGCTGCCTCTCTCCGTGTTCACGTTGAGCTCACTGGTTCCTGCGCTATGCAGCGCACAGCGCATTCGATCTGATCCCGGTGTTGCCGGCCCACCTCTTGAAATCGTCCATCTCTACAACGATCAATGGCCTACCGGTACCAACACGCTGTACCAGACTCACGAATGCACAACGACTAACACCAATCCCAGGTATCACCGTCTCAAAAGGCGGTCGTAAATTCTCAAACTACCCAGCAGGTCTCGATCCCAACAACACCAACACAGGCACCAACAACAGACATGCCGTAGCAGAGCTCACCGCCAACGGCACCGAGACACCGTACCCAAGTGTCGAGATTAACAACCCGCCGAACGGAGCCATCAACCACACGACCACCCCACCAACAGGCGCAAACTACCAGAACTACCTCATCGGCGTCCAGAGCGTCGTCCTTGACCCCCAAGACCGGCTCTGGATCCTAGACACAGGCCGCGCATTAACCGAAGAAGGCACCCTCGTTCTGGCATCCACCGGCGGCCCCAAGCTCGTTGGCGTAGACGTTGAAACCGACACGGTGATTCAAACCATCGTCTTCCCTCCCACAGTCGCATACCCAGACTCATACCTCAACGACGTGCGCTTCGACTTGCGTCCTCACATCACCGATTCCGGAAAGGGCGTAGCGTACATCACCGACTCCTCATCCGAGGGCCGCAATGGCATCGTCATCGTAGACCTAGGCACAGGCGAGAGCTGGCGCCACCTCGACGGCGCACAAGAGTCGCGAGCAGAGCGGGGTTTCGTGCCGTACGTCTGGGGCGAACCAAAATACTACATCCCCGGTCCTGGTTTACCACTGACCACTGTTCCGCTGGGAAGCGATGGCATCGCCTTGTCCGCTGATGGAGAGCACTTGTACTTTGGCCCTGTTGGTGGTCGCACTCTATATAGTATTCCCACCGAGCGTCTGCGGGACCGCAGTCAGGCGTCTGAGCTACTGGCGCTGGGGGCTGTGAATAATCGGGGTGAGAGAGGTGTGAGCGATGGGTTTGAGACGGATACGAATGGGTTTATCTATGCGGGTAATATGGAACAGAATGAGATTGGGTTCCATAACCCGAAGAATGCGTCTATGACGCTGTTTGTGAGGGACCCGAGGATCAGCTGGGTGGATACTAGTAAGTCTTGCTTCCATTTTGCTGGTGATGTCTGATGAGAAACTGACGTGTTACAGTGTCCGTTGGAAGCGATGGCTATCTTTACTTCACCGACAACCAGCTTGCTTTCAGTTCGTCCTTCTATCCTGGCACAGACAACAGAGAGAGACCGTTCGTGCTGTTCAGAGCACCTTTGCCTAACAACGGATCAAGGGTGTTCTTGCAGTAAAGTCTCGGTGGACAGTGCTATAGTCTCCCGACTCGACAACTGGACGTATGTACATATATCTTAGAGCGTACGAAGCTTTGAACATTACAAATTCTACGTCTTACCAAACACAAATATACCCTTGCCATCCCTGTAGCCCTCCAATGTGTCCTTGACCTTACCAATCAACTCGTCACCCTTGGTATCCCACTCCCACTTGATCTCATCAACGGGCATGTCTCTGAACTCGCCCTTGCGTGTCATATCCAGTACATCAGCAACTGTCTTCTGCTTCTCCTCTGGGTGCTTCTCCGCCCACCTGCTTACCCAAAAGCCGTGGAAGTGAATGTCCTTGAAGATGAGCATTGACGCGGGAATAGTCAAAGGCTGCTTCGACATCGCGCCGTAGGTAACGAAATGCGACGAGGAAGAAAGCAGTTTGGCCATTGCGGTAGCTGCTTTCCCGTTCACGCAGTTCAATGCCAAACGGATGGGAGCGCGACCGCCGTTTGTCCATTCTTTGGCCTGGTCCTTGATGCCCTGCGATTGTAATTCCGCATCCGTGATGACGACGTCTGCGCCCAGCTCTTGGAGTTCCTTCTTCATGGCTTCTTCTTTGCTCTTGTCTTCCCGGCTACGAATCACGTTGATGCTCTTGTAACCCCACTTCTTGCCTAGTTGAATGGCGGCACGTCCGACACCTGAGTTTGCTCCATTCTGTATGAACCACTCGCCTTCGGAGAGAGTGGTGAAGTCGCGGAGCATGCGGTATGCCGTGCATGGGTTTATGGATACGGTGCCGGCTTGAATCGCTGTAATGCCTTCGCGCATATGGTCGTCGAGCTTGACTACGTCGTTGGTGGTGGCGCTTGCGTGTGTTCGCCATGTACCGAAGCCAGGACCTTTCATGAAGACCCAGTCGCCCTTCTTGAAGCCTTCCTTCTTGACTCCTTCGCCCAACGCTATTATCTCTGCCACACCCTCATTTCCGGCGACAGCGATTGGGTTGGGTGTGCCTAGGTTGGTGGTGAAGGTCGGCTTCGAAGGGTATACGCCTTGAATCTGGTTGATGTCGGCGGGATTGATGGGCGAAGCGAGGAAGCGCAGTGTCATAAAGTTGCTATGCGGCGGCGAGATGGAATGACCGTGCAGAGAGAGTACAGCGGGAGGCTCGCCATATTCGGAGAATGTGAGGGCTTTGGCTTGCTCGTAGCCGTATGCGGAGATGTAGCGGCGCTGCGGGAGGCGCGATACGGCTGGGGCTAGGTGTCGCGTGCGGCGCAGACACGACTGCGCTAATCGCGGAGACGACGAGATGAGTTTGGTAGCCATTGTGAGTGGCGTAGACAATATGCAGGTGACGTGAATTGGAAGCCTGCGGAGCTCATGGAAGATGTTTTGGAAAGACGGAGCTATGACGTTTGCTAAAGCCGAGGTTTGGTGGAGCAATGGAGCTCGTAACACGCATCACTTTCGACACAGTACATACAGTGCATGTCTGTAACAATTCTCGATGCGCGAAGGTTTTGACGGGATGAATTAACACTCTACATGCCAAGGTAGCGCAAGTTGCGAGTCTCGCCTTCCGCCCAAGTCTCTAGATGCCAGATCGTGCTTTGATCCACTGTTTCTCATAAGCTCGCAAGAATACTCGCATCAGACAACAATGCGCCACAGCCTGCGCCTTAAGCTACGTACGAAGAAGCAATGGTAGACATTCACATGCAAGACGGCCCAAGAGGCGCTTCGTGAAGGTTCCCGCCAGCTGGGCATCTAGACGCCACTAGCACCGCCCCGCGTACGTCATCGGCCATGCGTGTTGCTAGGCTGCGCCCTCCTTGAACTGGCAGGTTGCTGCATACCCCTCTTGCTACAAATAGACCCTTTCGCCAACACACCCTGTCCACCACATCACTCAAAGACTCACAATACCCCTCAACCACTATACCACTACATCCAAATCCCTCCCAAAACACCTCACATACACTTCAACATGGCTGCCACTGTCAACGTCGAGAACATCTCCACCAAGACTAGCGAGGATGAGATCAAGAGCTTCTTCTCCTTCTGCGGAAAGATCCAGTCGCTCAGCGTAAAGCCCTCAGGCGACGACACCCAGTCTGCCTCGGTCACCTTCGAGAAGGCCGCCGCCGCAAAGACCGCCCTCCTCCTCGACAACACACAGCTCGGCCACAACTCGGTCCAGGTCACGTCCGCTAAGAGCATCGACGAGATTGCCGGCGAGAAGTCTGCGTCCGCCGACGACGCCAAGGACGGCGACCACCACATCGAGCAGGAGCAGAAGCCCCGCGCACGCATCATCGCCGAGTACCTCGCCCACGGCTATGCCATCTCCGACACCGCCATCGAGAAGGCCCTCGCCGCGGACAAGCAGAACGGCTACAGCACCAAGTTCATGAACGTCCTCAACAACTTCGACCAGAAGACCCAGGCTACACAGAAGGCGCAGGTCGTCGACCAGAAGTTGGGCATAACAAACAAGGGCTACGCTGCCTTCAACATGATGACCAGCTATTTCGACAAGGCTGCGTCCACACCCACCGGACAGAAGCTCCGTGCTTTCTACGAGCAGGGTAACAAGACCGTCATGGATGTCCACAACGAGGCTAGGCATTTGGCCGATCTTAAGAAGCAGAAGCCTGCCAGCGAGGGCGGTGTCGCTACTGAGCTCAGCGAGAAGCCCGCCGAGGGTAGCAACGAGAAGAGCGGCGAGTCCTACGCCGCCGCTGCTGCCCCCACCTCCTAGATACGAACACCTCAAGTGCTCACGACGGAGGACTGGAACGACATTTCTTTCGATTCAACGATTCCCACTTGGTTTACAGTCTGTATGAATACTTGCGCATGATACCGATGACGGCACGAGCACGGAGTTTGGAATAAGATGGTTTAGCAACCTACGAAAACACAATTCTATCTAGTAACCATTGATTTTGAGCCCTGTATTATCGCGTAGTGATGGTGCTCTATTACGATCTTTTCTCTAGCAACGACATAAACAAGCACGCAGAAAACAAAAAGACCAAAGCCAATGTTCCTCCTACCCCTCTAGTATCCCCACTCTCCACTATCCAACAGGCTCTGGCTAGCCACAAAGCTGAAACCCCCAAAAGGATTGCTAGAAGCCTGACTCTCAAACATCAAGTCGTCAAACTTCTTGGTCAGAACAGGGCTCAGTGGTAGGTCGGTAAAGTCCTGAGCAAAGTTCTCCGCCAACTCCGGGTCCGTGATGAGTGGCTGGATCGGCGGCTCCAACTCCCTCGCTTCCAACTTCTTCCAGTCGATCTTGCGGAAGAACCTATGTTTCTTGATGTTCGGCAGATCCTTGGCCATGTTGAAGCCTAGGCGCTTCTTGGGGTCTTTGCGGAGGAGGCGAGTGAGGAGATCTTTTGCGTCGGCGCTGAGGTAGTAAGGCAGGGCAAGTTTCTGCTTTACAATCTTTTCCTGGATCTTGGCGTTGTTGTTGCCAGTGAAGGGAGGAGCGCCAGTGAGAAGATCGAAGCCGAGTGCGCCTAGGGACCACCAGTCGACTGCCGCGCCATACTCGTGGCCCTGAACAACCTCCGGAGCCATGTATTCTACGGTACCGAGGATCGAGCGGCAGGGGCTGTCTTCGTCAAGACTGACTTTGCTGAGGCCGAAGTCGGTAAGGAGCAGGTGGCCCTCGGAGTCCAGAAGGCAGTTCTCAGGCTTTAGGTCGCGGTAGATGACGCCGACTGTGCGGTGAAGGTGGTCAAGCGCAAGTACCATTTCAGCCATGTAGAAGGCGGCTACGTCCTCGGAGAACATGCGCTCAGCAGCGAGGTGGTGGAACAGCTCGCCGCCTTGGGCATACTCCAGAATGAGGTACAGCTTCTCCTGGTCCTGGAAGGCATAGTAGAAGTTGACGATGAAGGGGTGTCGGTTCACGCTCTCGAGGACATTTCGCTCCGTCTTGGTTTGTTCGATGAGCTTCTTATGCACAGTAATGGAAGCCTTCTTGAACTGCTTCTGCGCGAAAAGGCGGCCTGTCGCGCGCTGCCTGACCAGCAAGACGGTGCCATAGCTGCCCTTGCCCAGACACATCAACGGCTCAAAGTCCTCGGCCGTCATCTTGCGCGCCATGCCGCTGTTCAACATGGTCGAAGTCTTGGAGAGCGTGTCGATGTTGAAGTCTTCTGCGTTGAGGTCGATTTCGTAGCTCTCCATCTCCGTACGGTCACTGTCACTTTCCCGGCCTGACATACTGGTGTTGCTCGATAACTGCGATGTGACCCTGCTCATAGCGACACCCTTTCCTGGGGAATCCTTCATGGGTGAGTCGCTCCTTGGGCCTAGGTTCAGCGCCTCCAGCTGGGCTTTAAGGTTGCTAATGCCTCCCGCCGTGGACTGGGGTCTAAGCGCTGGGCTGCTGGTGACGCTGGGAAGTCCAGAGCGCACAGGTCCGAAGCGCGGTGTAGTGGCCAAAGAGTAGTCCGACTCCTCCCCACCAGACGTGACTGGAGTGTGAAAACCCCGGGTGACGCTTGTAGCTTGTAGTCCTGCTTTCAGACCCTTCTTTTTCTTCTTCTTGTTCTTCTGGGCCTTCTTGAACACGGCGTCGAAATCCAATTTGTCTGGTCCCTGCTGCTTGCCCTCGGGGCCGGGCTGCATTGCGCGCTGTGGCATAGGGCTGACGATGTTGATCGGCGGGGTTCCTACGTGGAGGGGCGCTTTGGGCGGGCTCATGTCCATGGGTCCCGAAGCGAACATGTCGTCTTCGGGCATGGCAGGCTCAGGGTTTCGCGGCGCGTTGGCCGGAAGTTGGGCATCGTTCTGGTCGAATGCGAAAACCATGGTAACGGTAGTGAGGGGTAATGCGATAAAGAGTTGTCACTCTCCAAGCTGCGCCCGTATTCTGCTCAAGTCAGCATTTGCGCACGCTTCGGAGAGGAGTTCGCGCACATCCAACGCCGGTCTTGGGCAAACCAATATTACAGTCCGCCGCGAGGATTCACGGCGGAACTCCTACCCCTAGCCGGACCAGCGATGCGAAGGAGGCGTCCGTCTTGTTCAGGCCTGAGCTCAGTGCGGTGTAGGGGAAGAAGGAGCCAACTGCGGTAAGCTGAGCGGTGGGTAGGAAAGCGGTCGCGGCGAAGGAAGCAGAGCCCATAGATGGTTGTGGTGGAATATTGGGAATGTTAATGGTCGGAGCCAGGATTCGGGGCCTGGCAGTAAATCTGTCTAGTGGAAGTGTCGTGGTGTTGGGAGAAGTCGTGTTTGAAGGGGCTTTGGCAGAAAGGAACGCGATCAGCGGGAGAGGCTCAATCGCCAGGTTCTTAATTTGGTGCCTTGGCGGGCTCGCGGTGGCATGTGAATGAGCTTGCGCTTAACTGGTCATCCGCCCCAGATCCACCTCCACACAAACTCGGAGATCCACCCCGTGCTTTCATTTACATCATATTTGCATGTCTTGCTAATGTCATGCGCTTGCGTCGCTGATGCGATCGTGTTGATGTCGTTCGCTGCCACGCGCGCTGGCACTGAAACTGCGATCGCGTCTCACTCGACAAAGACAGCGCGACGCTGATCCAACGCGACTCTCTTCGCGAACGAGTCTACGTGGCAAGGGTATCTATTCGCTGCTGTGAAGTAACTCCGACTATGATTATCGCGAAATGAAGCTACCAGCAGTAGCCCTGAGTGAGAGCTAGCGTGTTCCTCCTTTGTCAAACGTGCCTATAGAACAACAAAGCGCGACGCTTGACGGATAGGGGGCGCCACGAGACGTACACGAACTTGAACTGCTATATCTCGCGCCCATCGCCCTGCTTAGTAGAAAGACTCATTCGCGCCCCTCAGGTGTTGCCTCTTTCTGAAATATGTGACTTCCCCACCCGAAGCTAAGCGAGTGGGACTGCTGTGGGTTTTATGTTCCGACATCCGTCACAAAGAAAGGGCACAACTACAACTACTACTGCGTCTATTCCAGTCCATTCTGACCTCACTAGAAAGAACGCACAAGAAAACGCCCATCATATACTTTTCAATTCCAGAATTTTTCATCGTCGCCTTCCTAGCTCAGTGGTAGAGCGCGTCACTAGTAACGCTAGTCTCAATATGGGCTGCGCTAGTCCCAATCAGGACGTCACGTGATGACGAGGTCGTCAGTTCAATTCTGGCGGAAGGCAATAGCCCTCTCTTGCAAGAGCATATCTATCTTTTTTTGGTCGCTAAGCGTCTATTGTAGCCTCATTGTTTCTATTCTGTGGTTTTCCTGCTCACTGGGCTTCGGGAACATGTCACGGATCGAACCCACGTTCTGTCATCTGATTGGGGCTAGCGTCACACTAGCTCCCGGCCCGTGCGGGATCATCAAAACTTCAGCCCGCAAGCGATTGATCGTTCGACAACGTAGTATCTCACAAGTAATGCAATCTCAACGCATATTTCCACCCGTTACAAACAGGCGACCGTGGCATCACGGGACTCGCACTTATGATTCAGCTGCCTTCGCTACGACACTGAACACATCCATTGAATTTCAAGATGAACAACCTGAAACAGACACCTGGTGGGCTTCAGAACGTGTTTGAAAGCCTACTCAACTTTAGTAGCCTGCAGCTGGATCTATCATATGTTTTTACAGCTTTCAATGTCGTAGTCTTGAAATTTCAGTTCGAGAATCCGGGGTAAAGCACTTCCTAACCGATTCAGTCAACGTTAAAAAGCCCGCGAAACAACATCCGTTCCCAAGGTTATCAACCTCTTTTTCCCGCTTCTCGCTGCAGATGGCCTGTCCCCATCGCGACATCAAGCCGAGCAACAATAATTATGAACTACAACGGTAAATCTTACACAATTCACGACCAGCCCTTCGAAAGTTTAGTTCTGCTGACAATACACAGATATCCTCATCTCAACTCTTGTATTGTAGACGTGCAAGCTCAAAGTGGGACTGACTACCTATTCTCTAGCGATAGTGACTCAATCCTGATCTTCTTCCTCCTCCTCGCCGACCTCGGCCACCACTGGCATCCGTCTTCGCGCCTTCGGCTTGTCCGCCCCCTCGTATTCCTCCTCGTCATCACCGTCGCCCTCGATCACCACTGGCATCTGTCTTCGTACATTCGGCTTGTCCGTCTTCTCGCCTTCTTCTTCCTTGTCACCCACCTCGCGGTGGGGACTCTTAGCAGACGGAGGCTTGCCCTTGACAAGATTGACGTTCTTCCTTGCCTCGATCGATACGTTCATCGCTGTCTTCAACTTCTCCCCTCGTTCGATGGGCCCGGTTGCCAGAATGTCTTCACTGGTAGCAAGCAAGACCTCTCTCGCTATCCCCAGCTTGCTGAGATGGGGGTACTTCTCAATGTACTTCCTGGCAAAGCCTCTCAGCTCTATCCTCTCCGTTTGGTTGAAGTCCACCGGATATATCATGGAATCGGAAGGGGGCGAAGGGAAGGATGAACTCCATTTGGCCAAGGCGCGGTTTACTTCGTTCGACAGGACATCAACCTCGGCCATAACTGCTGCCTCGTCTAAACTCGTGTCTTCCGGCTCTTTGTCTGGCACAGCCAACGTATCTCCGGCGTCTCCGCGGTCCACGATGAACGTGAAATGTAAGCAGGCAAGGAATGAGCTGAAGCAGGCTGGGGCAGTGACCGGACGTGTGCGAATCGCAGCAGCCAACCGACCAAAATTGTCGAGATAACTGTGCGTTACAATGATAGAGTCGCGAGCGGAGACGAGAATGGATATCGGGTCGACCAGCGGCGAAAGTCTGCTTGATAAACCTTCGCTCTCAGGCTTCCACGCTGCGACAGCGCTCAACGGAGATCCTAACGCGTCGAGGCAGATTATTGTGGATGTTGATAGCTGCACCCTATCAGCCACAAAGAGACGCGACAGCATGCTTGACATCGTGTCTTGGGTATTGTCGGTGCTCTTGTCGCCAACCCCCTCGCTCTCTCCGGCTTGCGGTGTACACTCCTCACGCCTCGGTGCTGCTGGCTGTGGCGCTTCGGTGTCTTCGATGCTCTTGTCGCCAACCGCCTCGCTCTCTCCGGCTTGCGGTGCACACTCCTCACGTTTCGGTGCTGCTGGCTGTGGCACTTCGGTGTCTTCGATGCTCTTGTAGTCCATCTCTTCGTCGTCTCCTGTTTGCTGTTCAAGCTTCACGCGCTTCGGTGCTGCTAGCTGTGGCACTTCGGTGTCTTCGATGCTCTTGTAGTCCATCTCTCCGTCGTCTCCTGTTTGCTGTTCACGCTTCACGCGCTTCGGTGCCGCTGACTGTTGCGCCGTTGCGGAGCGCTTTGCTGAAGGTGTTGTAGCCGTGTTCGTTACGGGCAACTCGGCGGACTGCAAGGAGGTCAGTTAGCGGACGACGAGTAGATGCAGCGATGGAAGATCATACCCTTAGGAGGTACTCGTGATACCGGCTCTTCAGCTCAGGCTTGCTCCCAGTCAGCCGTACCCGGTCCTTGAACTTAGGAATAGTGGTGTTCAACTGAACAAGAAACAGCTTCATGTTGTCCCTGGTCGCCAGGGCATCGAAGTCTGCGAGTTTCTCCTTGATGTCATCGCCGCTGCGCTCGAGCGCCTCGTTGACCGCCATAGCTTCGGATTGGAAGCAGGCTAGTGAAGCACTGAGCCAGCGAAGTGTTTCCAGGCGCGATGCGTATTGTCTAGCCGGCGCAGCTGGGCATTCGCAAATGCAATTAGAAAATGGACGCAACGCGGGTGAGTACTAGTAGAAGCGAAGGAGCGAATGGGCGCGGCGAAAACGACTGTCAGACATGAAGCGGAAAGACAGAGTATATGAAAGGAGGCGGTCGAAGATTGACAGAGGAGCGAAGAGGAGGCAGATGCCGCGAGGTGAGATAGATTGTGGTGCGTCGCACCTTCCCAACCCACGCGCCAAGCAAACCTCACCTACCCAAACACTGCACTCACCATTCTTCACCGCCAGTCCTCCGCAGCCTTCATCATCGGCTTCTCAGCGTGCCACTCTTCTCATTAACCATCAAGATCTGCACGAGCAAGCGTCTCGACAGCTTGACGCAGTACTTATTGTCAGCGTCATGTTCTATAAGCGCTATACACTGAAGACCTCCACCCCACACATCCTGTTCGCTCTTTCCAACCAGACCTCCGCAGCCTTGATTCTCACATTCGTAACGCTCACTCTCCTCATCAACCAACGGCATCCGCGCTACTACGCCTCCTAGTCCGACCTCCACAGCCACAACCCTCACCTTCTCAACGCTCGGAGGTATCCGTTCCGCGGACAGCAACTGCGCCACCAATCTCCCATTAGCCCGAAGCAGAGGTCATCATCAGCGTCGTATTCTCCACGCGCTGGATACCAAAGACCTCGATCCCACACATCCTACTCAGTCCATACAAACGAGCAGAACGCGATGTCTCTGTCTCTACCACCTAAGCACCCTTCCGCCAAGATGGCCGCGTAGATGGCTGCACTGAGCAACGCGCAAAAGGAGAAGCTCAAAGTTAGTTCGAAACGCTCCCGCTTCTATGACAGCTCGGCTCCCGGTACAATTGCCCAACGAGCGCAAGCTCGCAGTAACTTCCAGGAATATTGCAAGAGTGTCTACGGGATCGAAAAGGAGCCTGAGATGTACAGTCGTGAGACCCTCATCGACCACGTCTGCGGCTTCCTGGAGTGCATGGCGACGGTCTCGGAAGGAGTACTCCATGACAAGGTCAAGGCAAGTTTCATCCAAATCCCCATGGTAAACAGATACTAACACCTCCCAGGTGGGTACATTGTATATGTACAAGTATTCGCTTCGGTTCTGGGTTGATCGATACACGCTCGACTTCGAATCGATTCAGACGGAATACTATTGCCGAGTATTAAGGCATATCCACATGGTAGCCGTGGAGCAAGACTTGCCAACAGGAAGCAGGGAGAAGAACGAGCTAGGCGAGTTCGAGCTCGGATTGATGTACATGGAGGCCATGGCTCTTCAGGAGGGGGTCCTCCAGACAAAGCAACATTACCTCGCGTGGGTTCTTGCCTATATTACCGGGGCCCGACCCGGCACTTTCACAGTTGGAACCGGCTATCATAAAGGCGCCCCGCTAGGTAGTGCCATGAGCCACACCATGCCCACGCGCGCCGTTTCCCACACATTACGCTGGGCTGACATCAAGTTTGACAAGTTCGAACAGGAATACTGCTGTATCCTGACGTTCCGCTTTTTGAAAGGAAGCCACGACAAGTACAAAGAGGGTAACTTGGACGGGTCAAGGGAGTTCTTTTTCGCGCCGAAGCAAGAACGCCTACATCTCGACCTTAGTGCGCTCTTATTTGGTGAAGGTAAGGCGTGGATGTTCGGGACTCAAGCTCATACACTGACATCCCATAGCTTATACCCGAGGCTTGTTTGTCGACCCATTGGACATTCTCCTCAGCGACACGTCCCTTCATTTCCCCACGATCAGATCGGAAGTGGCAACACAGGCTGTGTTCCTTGCGCCGAACACAGAATGTGAGCTTATTCCCACTCAAGAGATGAAAGCCAATGCACTCAACCGAAAGCTCCAAGACTTCTGTCTGTCGGTCGGTATTCTCTGTTATGTTTCTATGTATTCGTTCAGAAGGCAAGCAGCTCAGGAAGCAAAGAGGGACCACTCTACCGAGGACGCCATGGCGCTGCTCGACCACGCCCCAAACCACCCAAATACCCTGCCCTACTACGACCAGCATGGATTTGGTCGACGAGATGTAACTTCGTTCAGACTGGGGGGTGCAGCACTCACGGACTCATCGATTCGAAAGTTTTTCTCCCCGTCTAACAGACTGGTAAGTACTTACTCTTTCCAGTTGCTTCTGCCTACTCACGAGAACCCTCTCGCACACACAAGATGTTTACTAATCTTGTGGCACTGCAGTGGGTCAAAGACACATCGTCAGGATGACCAGTCAGATCACTAAAAGCAGAGCTTTACGCTCGCGCACTCCAGATCATCACCTCAGACCCGAAACACAAGAAACTCGAGGCCGGACTTCACGACATCCTAATCAAAGCCCACACCAAGCTCCAAGAGTTCAACCTACTCTCGCCCGACGGAGAATACTGCATCACGGACCGCAACATCGGAAAGTACAAGGCACTGATAATGGGTATCGAGGAGCCGGCATTCATGGAGATAAGGCAAGAGTTGGAAGAACACTTAGCGCCGTGGAAATTTGCCCGCATGGCTGTCACACAACGCACCAATGAAGCCTGCCGCAAGAGCATCGAGGGCAAGTCGGCGGAGAGAAAGGATGGGGCAGTATGTGAACGAGATGGGCATTGAAGGAGCAGAAGATGACGAATACGTGGAAGTCGTCATCGAGCTCGTCGTCGGCTGGTAATGCACGGATCAATCTGTACGAGCACCTCATTTAAGAAAAGCGCTAAACAGGTCTGCAGACTACATCCAGACAAAAACTTGCAGAGTAGGTGACCTGACCTCAACGTAGGCTCCAGGGTGTTCAGATTTTCTTAGGTTGGCGTGCGAGGGAGGGCCGTGGAGAGATGAGACGGGGGTGTCAACCTGCGCTTCCTATCAGCATGTGCTGAGAACGTAAGACGAGTATACTTCCGGGAGGAAGAGCCGATCTACCTGGGGCCATTTCTTGACGTCTCAGGTTTGATCCGAAGAGGTGATCGTCCGGCTGAGTGGTCCACGCAGATCCATAGTCGTACAGTTCATCTGCGTCACCAAGCACAACACAAAAACCATCGCCACTATGCTCGTAGACCGTATGAGCAAACTGAATGTCATCCGCTCAGTAGGCTTCCCCCGCTACGTTCATCGAGCAATGCCAGATTCATCGCGACATCCTGCTGCATCACTTCCAAACCTTCCGATGGAACTCCTCCTTTGGGTTAACGACAATAATGGTGTATCCTCTTGCGACATCCGGTCTCTCCGCCTTACTTGCAAGGAGGTGGAACTGAAATGCCGCAACGGGTTCTATGACACCATCGACGAGTCTACTGTATTATTGCAGCTAGACGCTGGATTTCCTGCTCGCGCACTGGTGTTCGCAAAGTACCAGGAGTGAAGTGACAACATCACGTCTGTCCACCTCGAGGTCCCACGAAACAAGTTCTTCTACGCATCAGAACAGGCGCATTGGAATGAAAGATGGGTTATGGACACCACGAAGGACAATTTCGCCGATATGTGACTGAAACTATGACTGGTTTGTCCATAGATCGTTCTACACGTGCAGACCCACTTAAATACAGCTGAACATAAGAGGATCAAGGGCGCATAGCTGTATCGTGGGGCTCTAGCATAGCGATGTTGCCACTCGTCTCAGTTGAAAGACTGTATTCTCTGGATGCTGAGATCTCTGCATTTCCGAGATCATCTCTACCCGGCCGCGTTGGGTGGATGCTGACTAGAAGAAAGGTGTGTGCTTTCGTATTCTCGCATGCGATCTGCTTACTTATTTGTGGACCGAGCGCTTGAAGTCAGCTTCTCACACCTTGTTGACTAGGGTACAGAGTCTAATGAACTATAGCATGTGCGCGACGAGCCGAACACGTGGGGCTGCTCATTCTGCCAGTACAGTAGTTCTGACTACTCAAAGACTAGAGACTGCCCAGTCTACCGCATGCCGAGGTGACATCGGGACTTGCCATTCTCCACTAATCGTGAAGATAGATCTACACGCCTCTTCCCTTACGTGCTTACCAAGATCTAGGCCGAGAATAAGATAATGTAGCCTGGCACCTTGGTTCAAGACATGCAACGTGAATGTCGATCGAAGAAAGGATTTACCTTCCACTCTACTAATAGAAAGCTACCAACAGCGAAGTCGCAATCTATACGAGCATTCTGCATGAACAACGCGACGATGTAGTCTGTCTTGAAGGGATCGGCATTCGAATTAGAGTCACGGCAGAGGCTGAAGGCGCTGCGGGTACCTACCTAGGCAGGTGCTGGCTGCATGAAAGTGGTGGCTACATGAGAGCCAAGATAACTAAGCAGCCCGTCTTCTTTTGACCGCCTGGTGCTGGCAAATGGCTTCAAGGAGTGGTCAGCCAGCATGTGCGGTCAACCTTACTGCGGCCGCTTTCGGTAGCAGATTCCCCAGCCACAACCGTTTCGGGGTAAGTAGCGTCTCCCCCGCAGGCCGATGTAAGACATACGATGTAGTGGAGAAGAAGTTAGTGAGTGTCTGACCGGGCCAGCCCTAGTAATATAGCCATATTAACTGTCGTGTAACCTAGGACGATCTTCACTACATTGATCCCGCCAAGGTCCTTGAGATCATCTTAACGACGAATCACCATAGTAGTTCTATTCTGCGAACTTCATATGCCGGTTGCTGCATGCACATAGTCATCGCCCAGAACACTGTCTTTGTGTCTCGACGTCCGGACACCTCCACCCCTTATGCGATCAGCTTACCACCACCGTCATTGCCAGTCGAGAAACACCGTGTGCACCTCATGAATGCCAGTCAAGCTCTGCGGTGAGTAGTCGTAGAACGCTGAGTGGGCAAAATGACGGACAGTTATGTGGTAATAGCCTCAGGAAGGCTCTCAACCCCGAGACAGTAACCCAGTTCGGGACAGTGATAACTTTGTGCGCGTCCGAGAGGACTGGGAGAGTTGACCGGTCGATGTCAGCGGTGATGGAGAAAGAAAGAGGACTATGTGAGGACGAGAAAGTATAAAGGATGGCCAGAAGTCGACCTGAAAGAACTCACCAAGCTTCAACATTACAACATCATTGCCTTCACTACTTCACCAGCCTTTCGCTCAACACCTCCTCAAACCATCAACATGCGTTTCTCCACCATCACCATCGCCGCCCTTGCTGGCCTCGCTGCCGCCGCTCCCAACGAGATCGCCAAGCGCGAGAGCCAACAGATGACCAGTGCCATTCAGTTCGCTGCCCAGCAAGCCGACTGCAGCATCTTCGACTGCGCTGCTGTTATCGGTGCCGCTTTCTGCATTGCAGGAGGTATTGCAACCGGACCCGTTGGCGTTGCCGCAGTCGTTGCCTGTGTTTCCGGTGGTGCTCCTTCGGTATTTCCTCCCATTGTCTTCCCAGTACCCACTCCCACTGACTTGACTCAGCTCTGCGGCTGCGCTGGGTGCGTCGATGCTCTCGGCGACTTCTTGACTGAGAACGGCCTTTGCCCCGAGTAAACGACGATAGCTGACATTCTGATGCCCATTTCGGGTTGGGGAATGTACGAGGATGGAGTGTTCGGAGGGACATGGTCCATCAACATTAGACCTGCAGTGTCTGGTGTAGACTGGGATGACGGCTCTCACGAGCGACTTGCATGTATCTCCTTGGTGGTAGTTTAAACACACTCGCTCCTCAATGAAATCGCTGGCCAGCTCAAATATTCTCAGTGCCTTTAGTGCATTAACCAGTGATGTGGCAGTAAGCCGACTTGTTACAAATCTTGCGGTAAGCTCGTCTTGAATGGTCAAATGAGGGATTCCATGAAAGATACTGAATGTTTAATGTGTATTGATCGTTTCTATGCTTTTTCATGCTTTGATAATACGAATGCCCACATCTACTCCTCGTCCCCAGCCTACTCGCAACACCTGGTATCTAGGTATGTGCAGTGGTTTTAATCTAATGAGGGACAAAAGTTTAATTGTATGAGAACACGGTTGTGGACGTAGAATCGCTCCTTTTTTGACCTCGTCATGTCATTGATAGGCTTGACGCCGCCCTATGTTGATACAAATGTACAGATAGTCCCCTCATGTGGGCGCATTACTTCTAACGGAACAGAAAGGGAAAGTCACCAAATGGGTAACTTAGGTGCAGGTACCGAAAGTGCCCTGGCAGCCAGCGCCGCAGTGGCCGGTGGTGCTTCCACACCAACCGTACTGGGAGCAGCAGTTTCCGAAAGAGGAGCCAGAGCATGTGAATCCAGAGGTTCCAGCGCAGGAGCCGTCAGTAGATGCCTTCTTGGTGGGTGCAGCAGCGGCCTTGCTGGTAGTGGTAGCGGCCTGCTTAGTAGCGGATGCTCCAGTGCCAGTGCAGGTACCGAAGGCGGAGTTGCAGCCAGTAGAGCAGTGGTCAGTAGTGCTTCCGCACCAGCCGTACTGGGAGCAGCAGTTACCGAAGGATGAGCCAGCGCAGGTGAAACCAGAAGTACCGCCGCATGAGCCGTCAGTGGAGACCTTGCCAGCGGCAGAAGCGACGGGGGCCTTGGAGGTAGTAGCCTTGGTAGGCGTGGCAGCCTTAGTGGTGGTGGTGGTAGGGGCAACACCGTTGCTGCCGCAGTTACCGAAGCCAGATTGGCAGCCAGTTCCGCAGTACGCCGAAGTGGTACCGCAGTAACCGGCAGCGCTGCAGCAGTTACCGAAGGTAGATCCCAAGCAGGTGTATCCCTTGGTACCACCGCAAGTAGCATCGGGGGTAACCTGCTTGGTTCCAGTGGCAGCGGGAGCACCGGCAGAAGTGGCGGGGTTGGGCGCGTTGCCAGAGCCGGCACCACCAGCAGTGCGGTACCAGTTCTCCTTGGGGTCACCAAGGCAGTCACCAACAGTAACGGCCTTGTATCCGAGCTGAGTGAGGGTGGAGAGCATGTACTCGGTCAGGTTCATGGCAGTCTGCTCATGGATATCGTGACCAATCTCGAGCCACTGGTTGCCGGCGGCGGGACCGCTGGTGACGTTGCCCAGGAAAACATCCTTGGAGTATTGAATGAGGGTGGTGCTGTCGTGTTCGTAATCATCCTGTTCCTAGTGTCAGCAATTGAACCCTTTCAAGAGATCAAGGAAGTGCATACGGTATCAAGGTTGAAGTATGTGACGTGGTAACCGAGGTCAGCCATGTCCTTCTCGCATCCTGACTCAGCAGTGCAGCTGGAGTACGGGGGACGCATGTAGGTGGGGATCTTGCCGACGATGTTGCGAAGAGCCATCTCGTTCTTGATCATCTGGTTGTAACGGTCCTGCTGGGAGACGGCGCTCAGGTCCAAGTGGGTCCAGGTGTGAGAAGCAAGCTGGTGGCCCTCAGAGTCCATGCGCTTAAGAACACTGCTGAACTCGGGAGTGATGTCAATCTGTCCCTTGTTGATGTTGTTTCCAGTGATGAAGAAAGTAGCCTTGGCGTTGTAGGAAGCCATGACATCGAGAATATGGCTGGTGAAGACCTTTTGTGGGCCGTCGTCGTAGGTGATGGCAACCGTGCCGGGCGTGGTGCAGCCGTAGATACCAGCGCCACCGTACTCGACATTGCCGACCTTGGTACGGGCGATGGAAGAGGTGTTGGTACCTCCTGGGGTGGCGTTCTCAGGGCAGCCAGAGCCGTGCTCGTAATCGCATCCAGGAGAGTAGCAGTAGTCGTCTTCTGTGCCACAGTAGCCAGCACCTGAGCAGCACTGACCAGCGGGACAGTTGCCGACACCCGCACCACACTGGCGGTCGTCCTGGCGGGCCACGACCTTGTTCTTAACCTGAGTCTTGGGTTGCAGAAGCTCGTTAACTCCGGTGAATCGAGCTCCAGTGCGAGAAAGTAGGTCGCGGGCCCGGAGGTCCCTTGGGTTCAAGCCAATGATGTTGGGCAGACCGGCGCCATGGGCGTTGACGAGAGGAGTGATGGCTGCAACGGCAGCGAGAGCCGCGGAGTAGTGCATGTTGTAAGAATGCGGTCGGTTCGAATTACGGAATTAAAGTTGTTCTGATAGTCGGATTAAGAGATGAGCGAGTGGATAGTGGTGGTCAATAACGACGACACACTGAAGGACCTTGGACCGGAACGAAAGACGGATCACAAGAAAGTAAGATTAGGACTTCGAACAGAAGGTACCAAGAAAAGTCATCACGGCATGCGGGTAGAATCATCTTATGAAGGGTAAGAATGATCGACGGTTAGCCAGCAATCCCCGTAAAGGCCTGGTGCTAAGGTTGACTCGCGTTACGACTAGCGCTCTCGACTCTTGCCTGCAGATGCCGGTCAGCGTAGAAAAGAAAGCTTGGTGTGCCGCGGGCCCCTGGCACTGGCAGATTCAAGCTCTCGACCCGCGGCGCCGGCTTCGCTTCGGGCGGACATGATGCGCGATTGGGAGCTTTCCTCATGGGTTGTTGGTGGCACGCGCTCCTTTGCCATGCAGGAACCGCATTGCTGTCACGTCGTGGAGCGAAAATAGAACGTGATTGTTGATCCGAGCCGTTTGAAACGTGTTTTGCTATCAGTGCCATCCGAAATGTTATTCTTGAACGCCTCTGACGTGACGGCTGTCGACCGGTAATTGCTCGAAACATCGAGTGATTCAAGCAGCCGGTCTCCACTGCCGCCTGTCACTATCCAGTTGCTTGGCGCATATCGGTTTCGCGCGGTCGCTGTTCAACATGTTGCGATGATGTTGCTGTGAGACGCTAGAAAATTATCACTTAGCTGTTGGAGGACCCCACGGGCGAGACGATGTGACGTCTTCCATCGGTCTGACGGTCTGACGGTGCCGCACTCAGTAGACGGCCCTTCAGCCATGGCGTCGAGCCACGAAAGCATCGACCTGCACTGGCGCATTGGCAACAGCTGCCGAGCACGCCCAACCGACGGTTACATCTCTTGGAGAGAGCTTGTTCGGGTTAAGAGATCCACCCCGCATCACCAACAAGCCATCGTGTAAGCAGTCGTTTGAGTCCGAGTCTCTGTCGCACAGCCATGCAATTGCATGAAGATTCGTCCGCGAAAGGTAGCATGATGCGCAATTCCGCTGCAGTGGAGGATGTCTCCTCTGGCCCTTCTGGCCCAGGTACGTACCCGCACTTCCGAGGAAAATTGGAGTCAAGTGGGCTTTCCGATGGCTAAGATGAGCCAATCACGTGCGCCGTCAAGCGAGGCCCATCTAAGCGCTCCCACCCTCAGCACTATACAGCATGCTTGCTTCCGCCAACACACTTCTCGATTTATCAATACTCATCACGAAGCACTACCGCTTACCGGCGCAGAAATTTCATGCCACATGATGGTGGCGTGCAGCACGCAACCACTGTTGCAAGCCGCGCAGGATACAGAAATTCTTGCGACGATGCAATTGGATTCAAGGGGCACGGGAAGACCTCGTATCCCTCTTCGTTTTCATGCAGCTAACCACTCGCACGTCTGATTCAGGCAGCAACTCCAAAACCTCCACTCCACCATGGCATGCAGAGATGGAGCTGTATATGCCTCGGGAATATCGCAAGGAATAAAGACCGAGTCTATTTTAATATATTGCTTTTCTGTTATGAGACAAGCTTTTGCTGAGATGACTAGGTTCTTCAGCCTCGTCCCGATCGCTTGACTCGACGAAACGAGATTGCGATAGACAAACCCTTCTCGTGCGGAGGAGTAAGCAACAGCACGACCGATCCTTAGCAAATCTTAGGCCTACTGCATTCAACGGCTGCGATGATCGTTTGTGGCCAGTACTGCGCAGGTAGACTACCGGTCGCGAATCGAAAACTTCCACTTCCCGACGCCGCGCGAGCTGGGATCTCAAGAGTCACTTTCGACCCTTGTTCGACTCAGACAATCACTGTACTCCACCTCGGAGCTAGTAATCTACCCTGCCAAAATGGCAACAATCGGATAGCACGGTTGACTATCCGTCAATATTGACTGCCGTTTTGTATACTTTTTCTCCTCTTACGTCCGATCAAGCATCCTCAAGGGGCGAATGAGCCAAGCAAACTATGTGGAGAAGCAAGGCGTCTACCACCCGTATCGCTTCTCTTGCTAAGCAAGAACAAGCACCCGCTCCATCCCATGGCACTTGGCGCATGCCGTAGTTTCGCAGTACTCGTATTGCAGGATGAGCATGACGGCTGCAGCTTTGGAAGGTCAACCTACATGACGCCTCAGGGGTCAGAGTCCCACTGAGCATCTGACGTGCTAGGAGACACCTTCCTTTTCTCCCCACTAACATAGATGCTTTCTTCCGCCAGCGCCTCCTTCTGTCGTACGATGTCTGAACGATTAGGCGATAGGTCGAACCACACATTGCCCTACGCCCATAAGCAAGCATCGGTAACCTGCGCGAACGGCACACTTGGTTGTCGCACAGAGGGTTGGCACCCCGCTGCTGATCAGTCGCAGATCCTCGACGACGGGTACCTGCACGAAAAAGCGATGATCAGTATTCCAAATGTAGATCATTGTAACGTCCAGCCGAGATCGAGATGCGATG